CTTACATACCATGTATTTTTAAAGCAACATTGGGGGTGCAATTCTAAATCCCAAAATCGGTCGGAGCATGGCATCAAAAATTACGCACGTTTTGTACACGAAAATGCGTATTTTTATCATCAGAAAACGAGGCGTCTCCGTGATGGGAACAAGTGGTTTCCCTAACACAGTCGCCGAATATTGATACCGAGCACGTAATCTCCTACGTCAAATCTACGGTCGTGCCTTGGATACAACCTCTTACCTTTTCTATCAATTTCTAGGCGCTGAAATATCGATCTACATGCGTTTGGACGCCCATTCACTACTGAACACTCATATGAGTTCAAAGTGCTCCGGGCAAGATCTGATAGCTTCAGGGCACTTCCACGAATAACCGGAAAATTGGCAAAACCTGAGGAAAGTTCGGAAAACTTCAGGAAAAATGTCAAAACTTCGGATCCGTTCAATTGGCTTCAGAAAAATTGCAGGAACTTTACAGTTGTTCCAAGGACAAAGTCAATGAAACTTCAAAGAAGTTGAGAGCCCCATGAACGCCAGGTAAATAGCGGGGAACTTTGATGGAGTTATGGTAAATTTTGAAAACTTTATATTAGTTCCATTAACATCCGAAACTTTCAAGAAGGTCTGAGAAATTCAGGAAAAATCCTAGAAGTGAAACAACTTCAGGGTTATTAAGAAAAATGCAGGAACTTCATATTAATTTCGAGTCCCATCAAGAAGATCCTAAAACTAAAGATAGTCTAGAAACATCAGGAAAGTACGGAGAACTTAAGAAATATGTCGGAAAATTATCAGAAGTAACGAGAAAATCACTGATTTGCAGAAGATGACAAGATGTTTCTTTTATGTACGTCCAAATGAGGCAAAGGGCAAGTTAGGCGGAATGCGGAACCGAAATAAAAGTCACCGTTTTCGTTGTACTTCCAGAGGAAACTGAGCTCAGCTCTATGTATTCAATGTGTTTTTATGCAGCTGGCCGTGCTGCCAGTTTAAGGTTTATAATCATAGTTTCGTCAATTGACGTTTCGTATCTCGTGAAATGTTCGAGGAGTTTTTAGATTAGAACACAATTTTAGGCACCAATCAAACGAATCCAAAATGTCCCCGCTAACCTTCAGCTGACCTCCTCGTTCCGAGTATGCCACCAACGGAACGGGTTTGCAGAACTTCCTGCTGCGCACAAGTGGAGCTTTTCCACCACTAAAAGCCGTTGCTTCCTCCTTGATTAATTTAGCGGCCTCCGTAATGTACCCTCCGTATAATCACACTCTGTGATATGAACACTAGGGATAAACTAATCGGCTGCCGCCCGGAGCACTTTTCGCTGGACGGTTTTCCACCCTGCCGTCGATACCCGGAAAGTTACCGGCAAGTTTTACCGTGAGCGCAGTAACCCAAACGGAGGAATAATCCTGGTGTAGGTGGGCACTGTCGCCGTCGTTGATAGTGCACTGCCATATGACAGCTAACTGCTGTTGCACACACACCTCGCACAACAAAGTTTTTTTCCTCCTAAATTTCACTTTCACTTTCGTGACCCCACTATTGCACGCGAATGTTCTTTTTTTACTATCGTCGCCACTTTTATGTACGTCCAAACAAAGCAAAGGGCAAGTTAGGCGGAACCGAAATAAAAGTCACCGTTTTCGTTGTACTTCCAGAGTAAACTGAGCTCAGCTTTATGTATTCAATGTGTTTTTATGCAGCTGTCCGTGCTGCCAGTTTAAGGTTTATAATCATAGTTTCGTCAATTGACGTTTCGTATCTCGTGAAATGTGCACGTATACAACAGTTTCTTTAGATCTTTAGGGCAGGTTTATTCATTTCATCAGAAAAGTAGCGCAAACTTCAGGAAAGAATAGAGGGTCCGCAGGAAAGTAGGGGGTCCGCAAAAACTGTAGGAACTTTAAAGAAAGGTAGATTTCAGAGAAGTTTCTTGAACAACCTGCGGGACAGTAAGGTTACTTCTGTAACATTTCCAAAACTTTAGGGATGCTTGAAGATCTTCCAGGTGGTGCCATCAGCTTCAGGGAAACTGCAGAATTTTAAAGAAGTTTTAGAAACTGCAGGGATATCCCCAGAACTTCATGAAACTTCAACTGAAAAAGCTTGTTCTAGAGATCTTCAGGAAATCCCAAAGATCTTAAGGACAGTCACAAGACTTCAGATACGTCCAGATTTTCGGGAAAATTTGAAGGTCTGTGAAGGTAAGTTTCGATAAACCTAGGACAGCGCCATGACAAAATTTTAAGAAATTCCTAAAAATTAGGGTCTAAAAAATATATATATTTATTTATATTTTTGTTTTATTACAGCATTTCTTACACTCTTGGGTGATTTGTGACTTCTCCGGGAATGAAATTTGAACTAGTAACATTGACGTGTGAGATATATACGTTAACTAAGGTGGGTAACTTAGAATTTTTCTGGGAAATTGAACTCTTCCATTAATTTTAGGGCAGTAGTACCAAGAACTTTTGGAGAAGTGCGACAACTTCAGAGAAGATCAGATAATCTAAGGGCGGTTTAATTATCTTCAGGTAATTTCCGATAACTTCAACAATGTTAAGACATCTCCAGAGAAGTCCAGAGAACTTAAGAGGAGTTTAATTATTTTCAATCAGTTTCGTTATTTTCTGGGATATTCTGAGTAATTCAAGAAGATCAGAACTTCAGAGCAGTATCGTTAATGAATTGAGCAGTTCCAGGCAAAATTACGAAAAAAAAAAAACATTTTTTTAAATCGACCTTCTCCAGTTTGTATGAAACTTTGCGCAATTGGTTGTTATGGGCAATTCACATTTTTGCTGAAATACGATCATCCAAATGTAAAATTTTCAAAATGGGGTTTTTGATAATTTCCTAGAAATTTTAATACGGAAGCGGTATTTCTGATCAAAAATATTTCTGAAGCAAAGCTGTAGAGAAAGACAATACCTTTCTGGGAAAAATAGACAAAACATGTTTTTAAATTTAAAAAAAAATAAAAACACATATTTCACAACATGTTCTAGCCCTATTTTTTAATAAAAAAAATGCTTGCAAACATGCAAACTGACAAAAAAATCGTAGAACATGATTTAAAATGTTTTAAACTTTGTTTTTTGAGTAAAAATTGCATGAGTTTTAACAAAAAGTTGACAAATTTTACCAAAATGTGTTGTTGTACGATTTTTGACAATTTTTAACTGTCCATTATATAAAGTATTTCAAAATTTTACATTTTTCATGAGCTTAAGGACATTTTGAAATATTTGGGACCTAAGCATTTTATTTAAATATTTACTAACTAAAACATTATTTAAATATATTTTTTCCAGAAAAATCTTATTTTTCTCTTTGTCTCAGACGTCATTTCGATCAGACGTTTCGTTTTCGTGCTACACTTTTTTTGAAGAATTACAAAGACGCCATTTTGAATTTCTTTTAAGATTATGCAAAGTTTCATGCTAATCGGAGAAGATCGCGTTTTTCCGATTCATCGTTTGGCGTAGAACTGCTGAATTGCAGAACGTTTCAAGAAGTTCCCAAGAATTACGGAATATAGTATACAGGAATGCTACAAATATTTCTTGAAATATGCGGGGTTTGTTCGTTTTGTTCGAACTTAAAATTCTTCTAAACCGGACTAAATTCTTAAAATTCGCTTAAAATTCAAGGAAGTTCAGGGAAGTTTACAGATTTTATAGAATATTCCTTGAGTTTCAGGGAAGCATTGAAAACTTCAGGAATTTCTTTGAGATTAATTGATCGGTCCTGATGTTCTCAAGGGAAGCAATCTCAATTCTCCTGAAACAAATGGAACTGTCCAGAAAACCATTAAATTTTCCTAAAGATCTTTGGACTTGTAAAGTTTTCGAACCATTTCTGATGTTTCCTTAAGGTCACTGGAGTTCTCAGGATTTCCCTGCGATTCTCGGTTTCTCAAGATTTTAACGGAAGTTGATGAAACTGTCCTTAGTTTATCGCAACTTACCCGTACAGATCTTCGAACTTACCCAAAATTCTGGGCTTTTCTGAAGTTTTCCTGAACCTAAGTTATGGAAGTTGAAAAAAAAACTAACTGGAGAAGACGGAAGAACCTTTCGAGTGAAGCTAGAAGAAGCTTCCAAGGGAAGTCAAAATAACTTTTCGCGAGGAATCGAAAAATAACATACGGGGTGAATCTCAAAAATCGGTATTTTGAGAAACCTTAAGTGTGTATCGGTATCAAGTTCAAAAACCGGTATAAATACCAATAAATCGGTATTCTGGCAACGCTGCTCAATACCCTCAAGAACCCAATTCAAGCTGAACAATTCACAAGCCTTTGGGATTTTCCTTATTAGAGAGTTGTATAGATTTTCTCCTTTAGTTTACTTAAATCTTTGGTTTTTATTAGTTAGGTAGGTTCCGATTCAACACATTATAGTTTCATTTTTATACCTGTGATCCTAACTTTTTTACCTAGGGATGAGTACTTAATGGGGTTTGATTTTAATAAGTTCTTTAGTGGGAATGACACTGATGAAGACTGCACATTGTAGTCGAAATACGCATCTGTCATGGATACCAAAATTAATTAAGTGGAAGATAACCTTTTTGCTGTTTTATTTAAGCATTCCGCTAACAACCCAATTTCATTACTTCACAACGAAAAGAATCGATTAATGTTACTAAGGTATTGTTCAGCTTGAAAAATGCCTGGCAACCCTGCTGTGCGCAATGATATTTTTTCCGTTCCAACTTAGTTTCATCTCGATTTTTAGTTAGCACGAATTCCCATACTAAAATTTAGAAATTTGATTTGGTCCATTTTGCGCCTTGCAAATATACACAATTTTTCAAAGGGGATGAGCCGCTTTATCCGGTTCCTTGTTAATGTTTACGTCAATTTAAATTTCAATTTAAAATATTAATGTAGATCCTTGCTATACTGAAATTTGGAAATATTCAGAAACCTATCTTTCAAACACCATTTTATCGTTTTCCGTTGCACTTATCGATAAGATGCTTACCCAACTCCGGTGGCCACGTGTCGTCGTCGTCGTTTCGATGTAAATTTCTGCCACAATTTTGTGCTGACAGCCATCGATTCCACTCGTCGTCACCGTTGTCGCCTCCCCATGAGCATCACCTGATGAGACCTTTTCCTCATCATTGTAGTCACTGCTATTGCCGCCTCCGCAGGCGACAAGATTTGCATTCATGCTGAGCTGGTAGAATTCATTCGGTTGGACGTTCCGCTGACGATGCTGGGAAAATCGAAAATACCGTGCCCGTCCCGGATGATCTCCCTCACCGTCTCCGCCCTCGTTCGCCGAAATCAAGACGACGGCGACGAAAAGTATCCTGATGATTAAACTCATTCCTGACCATCACGCAGGACACAATGTAAATCAGAAACAGTTTTCCCTGTACAGGTATATCCCTCACACTTTACACCGGAACCCGTCACAATATGTAAATGAGTCCACAATCGATATGCGTGCTTCGTCACATATTGGAATTTCCGATGTTTTTTTTCCTGATTATCATCATCCAATCCAATCACTGCTGTTCAATTCCAATTTTTTTCATCAATAATTCTTCTACTGTTGTGAGCCAACCAACAACAACAACAACAATCTCATCGCTGGATTAATTAAACGTCACGAATTATTGATGTGCATTATTTGTGCGTGACCGGTTATTTATTTTCATTCCGAGCGGAAAATGGCGTTTTTTTTTCTCGAAATGAATTTATGTTATTGTTATAAATTAGATTGGAATCTGCGTCACACTCACGAACTCACGAATCACGACAGCGACAGCGGTTGTCAATTTGTTTTTGTTTATGTTTGTTTCGAAGTCAATTTGCCAAACGAAAACGCAAACAGCTGCAGATTGCAATCGAGGCTTACTTTGATTCTGATTCTACCGATTCTACACCAACCGACAGCGTGTCAATTTGACAGACGAAGGCACCTCCCCACCACTAATTCGTGTTTCGAAACGCGGACATCTGTTCAAGCACGAATACCACCATCCTAGCTTTTAATTTGTAGTTTGTCGGAATTACCCACTCGAACGCCTTCGCTAGAAAATGCTATTTTCGTATCTACATAAAACATCTCGCGCCGAGATAGACATCATGGCAGCTAATTGCACTCACTATGCTGCTGCTGCATTCCCGATGGTATTCTTTCATCCCGGTGCTCCTATTTAGCCTCCATCAAAAAGTCATATTCTCGTCCAAGTCCACAAGCAGTCGAGCGAAGCAATTTTATTTTGGTTAGCTGCATCCCTCCCACACAAGCGCTCTTTCTGCGTTCCTCTCGTTATGACACCCACCGAACCCGGTCTCGACGTTGGTAGCGGTGGTATTTTCAAAATTAACTGGGAACTGACTTAAAGAGGAGATGCGATTAATAAACTACCACTACCAACAGCGACTATCAGCTTAATTTATTGAGCACAAGAAGTTGTCCCAGCGCAGTTAATGTACGACAGACATACTCAAAAGCTGGATCTTCGAAGTCGAAAAATGTGTCAAATTATGACACATTAAGCAGGAGCCGTTGATCAAAATGATTAATTTGATTAGTATGTGACACTCATGGCGTGCTTGGGATCGCGTCACATGTCATAGCAGTGAGTGGCAACGCGACCTCGACAACAACCAGCACAAGAGTAAATAAATTAGCGCAAGCGACAATGTCTGACTGTTATGTTTCATTGAGATAAAAATAAGATCGCGTCTGAAATCTGGAGAATGCAGTAGAAATGTCATGAAATTCAAATCTGGAAATGAGAGGCTGCCGTGTGTAATGTGAATGGCCCTGTACGTGAGTGAGTTTTGCGGACTGTTTGTGGGACGCACATTGCGCTCGCGAAACATCGGTGACGAATGTGAAAAAGAAAATGGTAGAAAGAGAAAATTGGATTTCGCGAGTAATATGGTTCGAAGGTAGGGCGGTCAGCCGACGGATGTTTTGAGTCATTCCGTGGTTAGTGTCCATAAGAACCACTAATGAATTTTTGCCACAAGATTTCGGTTTGAATTTCATTGATAATGTTAACAAAAAAATAATGAAACGGATTAGACAGGAATCGAATGATGGACGTTGATTACGGGTCCTGTGACTGAGAAACTTGTATGTCAATACTTGGGAAAATGGAATGGCTAAAGGCGTTTAATAGTATGTTCACATTACGCTCTATATTACGTTATATAGCGAGATAATATCGATATCACGTTGAGGTGTTCACACTACAGCGAGATGATGTGGTTTGACATTAATGAACCAAAACAAAACCCCTGATAGAAACAAATTAGGGAAAGAAGACTATCGTTTGCAAACGTTCCATCTCGCGTTCTAAAGATTGTTGAAAATTAAAATGAGAGTCAGTGGACGAAATTTAAGAATAATACTTACGCAGCACGTAAGACGACTAAACGCAATGAGAGATATGTGCCGTATGAATTTTTTGCGAGAGTCGTTCTATAAACGGAAGCGGCAGGAGCACATTTTGAAAATTATAACACTTCAAAAGAAATCGATTGCATTATCTCTTCAGATGGCTCGCAATCATGGGATAAGATCAATAAGGAAAAAGGTATTTGAGTTCAAAGTTGTTTTTTGTAGTTAATGTATATGTAATTCGTACTTATCAGAATCGCACTTGTCGTTTCTTTGAACACGATGCTCAACAAAACGGAAAATTTCCGGATGACACGCCTAAACTTCAATGCATTATGCGTTAAAGTTCAAAGTATGGCGCGGCAGGATACAACATTTCAAAAATGCATTCCCTTACAAAAAAGGGTGGCAACTGCACTCTATGCACTTGGTTCTTCATGTGAGTACAGGACTATTGCCAATTTATTTGGAGTTGGAAAATCAACTGTTTGCGAAATAGTACTGGAGTTTTGCGAAGAAGTGTGGGCTAAAATGCGAAAGGAGTATTTGGATTCATTTCGGGAGATTAATTCGGAAAAACTTCGGCAACATTCCAAACAATTGTGTGGAGTAGATGTGCCAGTACTATTGATTGGAGACTCGGCATTTCGTTCGTAAACTTAATGAAACCCTTTTCTTTTCGAGCTGATGCATCAGCGAAGGGAAAAAAATAATTATGCGCTATCGAAGGCTCGGAGGGTCGTGGAAAATGCCTTTGGCCACTTAAAGGCAAGATTTAGGTGAATTGGCAAAGGCATCGATAATAGCTCTGATTGTGAAAATTTGTTGCATTCTGCACAACTTTTTAAACCACCAAAACGATGCGATTAACGCAAACTGGATTCAACAGTTGCAGGAAACAGATGGGAACAACCAGAGGCAACCACCAGAGCAGGTAGTGACTATAACGGATATGGATCCAACTGCGCAGACAGTGAAGGAATCGATTGCCAACTACTTAGGTGAGTTTAGGCACATACAATTATAGTATTTTCTTTATTTAAATGGAACGTTTCTTACATGTACTCATTTGTTAAGAAATTTGATCAGTGCTTCGTTGAATTCCTTAGTACTTTCGGTCATTTCTCGCAGCAATTGATTTCTTTCTTCCTCCAATCCAATCAATCTTTCGTCGGTTTCTCTTAGTCGCTCAAACTCGGTTTCCATGAATGCATTATTCTTCTTGAACTCATCCAGCATTTCCTGCTGTACATTAACAACTCTTCTTCTCTTTGTAGCTGATCGTTCGGATAATGATGACGATGGTGTCGGTGGTATCTCAGATCCATTAGGATCCTCTTCATCATTCGTTGTGTAATTTGGAGAGGAGGCTGTAATATCCAAGCATTCATCATGCGTACCTGGATTGAATAATTTTAAAAACGTATTACCGTGGACCCCCGGTAATATGACCGGTTTTAATCTGAACACTTTTTAATTTGAACCCCGCTTATCTGCACGGCGTGCAGACTAAAAATTGCCTAAACGTCATTTTGCACATGGAACGGAGTAAAGCGAAATGGAACATTGCAAAACGAAACGCAGAATCAAAACAAAACAGCAAATAAGGCAACCAAAAACACGCTGATAGGGTTGCTAGAACTTCAAATTAAAAATGAACCCCGTTAATATGAATGAGGTGTCGTTCAGATTACCGGGGGTCCACGATAGTGCAATTTATAAATCCATAAAACATAATTGATTAGACATAAATATTAAGGAAATAATATTAAACTATCATTTGGCTCACCCTCTTTCTTCCCTTTGAAATGTATATTGTCGTTTTGTTATATTGGGCGCCTAGCTGAATTGCGATTTTAAATAGGAATTCAAAGAGTTTCTACTCATCAACTTTTCCTCGAAATACATTCCCTTTTCTCTGAGGAATGGACATCCCAAAAAGGTGAATGAATTAAAGAGACTGAATTGGGTAAAGAAGCGACATCTTATCCATTCGACAGGACATCTACTTGATTGGAATAACTTTTCCTATGACATTAACAGATAATCAATTGTTCCAATTTGGACATTTTGTCTCTTTATAAATTCAGCCTCTTTTGTATTAATTTATTCCACAAATTAAATCTACACGAACATTTCACAGGTCCTATCTGCAGTGATCAATTCTCTTAATTAACTTTCTCTTCCGTTAATAAATTGGCTGCAAAAACATTCCCTGCTGCTGCTGTACTTAATTTTATGTGTTAGCTTTTAACCAACAATGCTGCGAAAATATCCGGGAATGTGATTGCATGACCATGGCTAGCCAAAGAGAAAATCTATGAAAAGTTTAAATCAATGCCGATAGGGCGTTTTAAAATATTCATCTAGAGTTAATGTTTAAAACAGGATTGTCAAATCTTAACATTAACTCACCATCATCATCTGAAATGCTTTCTTCCACAACTTCTGCAACGTTGTGGATTCTGAAGGACCCTATAATTCGGTAAACCTGATCGTAGTATGGCCAGGCAGATGGTGAACCTCCAGAAGGACCAATAGCGCATTTCTCTTTCCTGAAAGACATGTACAATATTGCCAGTTGCAATCTGACACAAAACTCGCAGAAGTCGTCGACATATGTAGTGATCCTTTGTCGACAATTTCTGCCACGGTTTCGGTGCGTTTTATTCAAGTGAAACAGATGATGGATTGAAAAACATAACGTTTAATAAACTTACTTGTACCTGGCGGTCAGGATATGAATTCAGACTTTTATTTCGTCCGTGGAAACGGTAAAACCATGCGTTGAAGAAAGAACGCGCATTTCCTCCAGAACGTGGCTGTTTTTGCGGCTGCCTCGCAAGGTCTTGAAGTTTGTCCTCCCACGCTTCAAATAAAAGTTCCACGGGACACGGTGACACGACGACGACGGAACGCAACGAGATATAAAACAGCGAATGAAGAAATCAATCTCAAAGCAAAGC